TCCATCTACAATATTATTTAATATATGCAAACACTTATTTTGAGATGAAATGCTGTAGTGAATAGTTTCTAATCTTATAAATGCCATTTCGTATTTTTTTGTTTTATCAAGTTCAATAATAGGATCAAATTGAATTATAGTAATATTTGATTTATTGTTATGTACTTCAATATCCATTCTTTATATATTTATAATTAATACTTAAATTATATAAATCATTTTTTTATATTATTAAATAATATAAAAAATATTTTACTCTTCATCTTCACTTTCTAAATCAATATCTTTAATATAAAATCTTTCTATCTTATACTCTTTTTCATATACAACTGCATCTAATAATTTTACTTGAATAGATTGAATCATTGATCCGATATATACACCTTCAATTGCTAAGCATCCAACAACGTCACATCTTTTTTTAATAAGACTTTCTCCTAAAATATCACCATCATTTTTTTTCATGAATACTTGATCCATCTTTTTATTGTTATAATCTGTTGGTATTTTTGCATATATAATTGGAGGTCCCCTAGGATTATCATTTCTATACTTTAAAATGTTTAAATTGTGAATATCAAGACTTTTCATACCACCTTTTTTTAACTTTGATTCATTTTCAGTAACTTTATCTCTACAAAATTTTTCAATAGCTTCAATAATTGTGATAAATATATCATTTTCACATACAAAAGGAATTGAATATCCTGTAAGTTTTTTTGTTTTTAAGTCTATATTTTCATTAACTCCACATGAAAACGATTTTGGGGTTTTTACTCTTAAAGCCTCTGAACAATCTGAATAGTTGTAGCCAATAACTACTTTTTGATATGGAACAGGTTTATTAAATTTAATTATTTCTTTTACGTATAAATTTGCTTCATCAAAATTTTCAATACTCACATAATATTTTTATATACACAAGAAAATTATTTAACTCATTATAATTTTTTATATTATTATGTTGTGAAAATGACATAAATAAATAATCATCTTTATAAAATGAATAAAATGTTTCTGAATATTGAAAATAGTAAAATAAAAAAAATAGGTTTAATATATAATCGGAATTTAGATCATACTCCATCTTTTGTTAATAGTAAAAAATATAGAGTATTTGCGCAGCAAGATTTTACAGTAAAATCAAATTCATATAATAACATTTCTTTAAAGTGTGGAGTTAATATAGATGAAGTGTATGTATCACTTGCACTTGCAGAAAAATATAAGCCATATTTAAACTTACTAAATTCAGTAGTAGCAGAGTCTACTAATGATATTATAATAACTTTATATAATAATGATAAAAAAGATATAAATATTAAAAAAGGAGATTTTTTATTATATATTTTATCTTATAATGGAATTATAAATATAATCAGTTATATATCTAACGAAGTATTGATCCCGAAGGGGTCTAACAAAGCAAAGGTACTTTCAGGAACTAAAAATGTAAAACCAAAAGAAGAACCACAAAGTGGTAAAGACTCTGTTAAATCTATATTATCAAGTATAGGAGAATTAATTACTGATAAAATATGTGATAAAGATAATACTAGATCACAAAGTGATCCTGACTTCGCTAAATCTGACAAAGATAAAGACAGTGATAAATCACAAAGTGATCCTGACAGCGCTAAATCTATATTTAATTTTGGTAAATAAAGGTATAGGAGATTTATTTTTTAGATAATACTATGATAATAAAATAATTTAGCAAAGCAATAATCGTTAAACGATTTAGCGAAGCATTGATCCCAAAGGGATCCGGATTCATGCAAATGAATTAAAATAAATGTTTTCTTTATAAAAAAGAATGGAATATAATAGGGACTATAAAGAATGTAAAAATGAAGAATGTAAAAGTATTTATCCAGATCTAACCAGTTTAGAGTTGATCCAACTGCACCACCACTATCTGATCAGCGATATAGATTAGATAAGATAAATGAAATTCAAGGTTAAATAGAATGTGAAAGAAGTAGAAGAGCTATGTTAAGTAAAAAGTATCATAGAGCTTCAAGAATAATTTCAGTTGTTGATAATTCATTGCTAGCAACTACTATAACACTTGGAGCTGTTGGTATCGGTTTTTAACAGCAATAGTTGGAACACCAGTAGCTATTCCATGTGAAGGTACAGCATTAGGTATTGGTTTAATATCACTAATAGGATCTCAAGTAATTAAAAATTAAATATAAAATCAGAAAAGCATGAAAAGATTAAAGTATTAGCTGATGCAAAATTAAATACTATAAGCGACCATATTTCTAAAGCTTTAAAAGATGGTAATATTGATGATGTAGAATTTACAATGATACTTTCAGAATATGAAAAGTTTCAAGCTATGATCGAACAAATTAGAACAAAATCTAAAAATGAAATTGATGAACAAACTAAACAATCAATATTCAACCAAGGTAAAGAGAAAGCAATGAAAGAGGCGATGGAATTGTTAGAGAATAGGTTTAATAAAAATCAAAATATTAACAAAATAAATATTAATTAAATCATAATATATGTTCAAGTAAAACATATATTATGTTCAAGTAAAACATATATTATGTTCAAGTAAAACATATATTATGTTCAAGTAAAACATATATTATGTTCAAGTAAAACATGATAATACGTTAAAAGAAAATGTTATGTATATAAAAATGTTGTTTTTAGATATTATAGATCCGAAAAAAAGAAATGAAGCTTTTAACGATTTCGAAATATTGAATAAAGGTATTTATCAAGATGCAGTAAATGAAAAGCTTGGATATGATAACCAACAGTATAACTTGCGTAATTTTCACAAACCTATTATCGATAGTCAATCTGAAATAAAAGAAAGCTTAGCTAAATTAAAAAATAAAGCTGATTTAGCTATAACTCTATCAAATTACCCCGCAATAATGGATATACCTGAAAGTAAAATAGTTTCATTAGGAACTATAGCAACAAATTATTTAAAGTCAGCCTATAGTAATAAAAAGGCAGCAGATTTTACATTTGGTATACACTCAAAAGATGGAAAGTTGTATATAGGAAAAAAACCAATATTAATTAGTAATAATGATATAACTATTGATGATAAAAAATATATTGGAACTAATGGTCTTTGGGAATTGTTAACAAAATCTAGTCCTGATAAAGATATATACAATGAAGATGATCTTGAAAATTATAAAAATATATTAAAAGAAACAGATGCCATTTCTTCTAGTAAATATCCAGGAAAGCCTAGATCATCTAGAAGTGAAAAATATAATAAAATAATAAAACCCATTTGGGGAGAGATCGCTAGAAAATCTGGAAAAGGAGTTATCATTCTTCCTAGTGATCCAAATGAATTAGTTAAAATGCTTGCATTACGAATAGCTGCATTTAAAGCAGGTAATACTGGGGCTAGAAATGAGGCTGTTGCTATTTGTGATGAATTATTACGTCAAGGAGAAATTGATTCTGAATATTATAAATCATTACAGAACATTTTTAGATTAAATAAAAATAGTAAGTAAATAAAAATGTTAATTGTTGAGAAAAAAGTTTATAAAAAGCATTTTGTAAGTGGAAGTGGTATATTCGATGATGTTAATAATCTATATAATCGAGCAAAATCTTCTGATTTTTTTAGAGCATTATCTGGTATGAAGACTATGTTGGATAACCGTTTAAGAGATAAATAAGGGATGCTAATGAATTAAAAAAATAGTAAGTATATAAAAAATGTTAATTGTTGAGAAAAAAGTTTATAAAAAGCATTTTATTGATGGGAGTGGCATATTTAGTCCTTTTAGAGGCTTACTTAATAATAGATCGATTAATAATGCACTTAAAATATCACGTAATTTAGCTAATAAAGCCATTGCTAGTGATTTAGGAAAAACTGCAATAGATGCTGCAAAAGTAGCAGGTAAAGAACTAGCTACAAATGCAATCTCTACAGCTAAAGATATTATATTAGAAAAAGGAAACAAGTTGATTAAAAAATCAAAGCTTAAACCTGAAAGTAAACAAGTACTTGCAAATTTAGTTGAATCCGGAGCTAATGATCTTGCTCAAAATATATCTAATGAAGTAACAACAAATTTAAATAAATTGATGATGGGATCTGCAATACCATCTAAAAGATCTAAAAGAGGATTAAATAAAAAATTAAGCCATTCAAACGCTATTAAACTGGAAGAATTAGTAAAGATGGGAAGAGGATTAAAAATGGCATAATTTTCAGTAACATTTTTTATAAAATTAATGTAAAATGAATTAAAAAAAAATGTTATGCATATAAAAATGGCAGATTATAAAAGTTTAGATTTAACAAAAGATCCCTTTATTGATGATAGTATTTTCAGATATCAATTTGGAGAATATACTCCACAAAATGGTACAAATATAAATGATACCGTACCAATAAAAATTAATATTGAGATGACGTATTCATTTTTTAAACCATCTAAAGCTTATATACAAGTTGAAGGAAGACTTCTAAAAGCAGATGGTACATCCTATGCTAATACAGATGTAGTTACACTTACACACAATGGAATTATGTGAAAGTCATAATTATGAATTATGACTTTCAATTAGCAGAAGGATTAAATCAACTATGGTACAAAGATAATACAACAGATGCAAATTTGGCTACTAATGCTGGATTTGAAGTAAGACAAGCATATATTATAAAAAAACCTTCTACAAAAGGTACATTTTCGTTTTGTATTCCTTTAAATCATATTTTCGGATTCTGTGAGGATTATACTAAAGTAATTTACGGATTTAAACATACATTAACTCTACAAAGAAAAAATGACAATGACGCTATTTTTAGAGCTGCTGGAGCAGCTGTAGGAAAAGTAAATCTTACAAAAGTATCATTATGGATGCCTTATGTAACACCATCAGATAAAGGAAGACATAATATTAATACGATTATTAGCAATTAAGTAACAATTCCAGTAGCTTTTTATTCTAGATCGTGCGAAACTATTACACCTCAACCAACAACTAAAATGAGTTGGAAACTTGGTGTTAAAAGTGATGAAAAACCTAGATATATTATCGTTGGATTCCAAACAAATAAAGATAATGATCAAACACAAAATGCTTCAATATTTGATCATTGTAACTTAACAAATATGCAAGTTGTGATTAATAATATAAGATTTCCTGAAGCTGATTATGAACTATCATTTCCAAATCAACAAGTTTCAAGAGCTTATACAGATTTATCTAACTTTAAAGAAAATTTTTGTGGAATAGATAAAATCATTTCAAATTGTAACATAACACCTTCAGACTATAGAGATTTATATCCACTTATGGTTTTCGATTTAAGACATCAATCAGAAAGATTAAAGCCTTCAGTATCAGATATTCAGATTAAAGCAAACTTTAGTGAAAATGTTCCAGACGGAACTGAAGCATTTGCTGTTATTGTGTCAGAGAGATTAGGTAGACTAAAGTCTAATGGAGATGGATTTAACTTTGAATATTAGAAAAAGAAAATAGTAAAATGTGTAATAAAAATATTTTTTTTGAAATGAGTTAAATAATTTTCTTGTATATATAAAAATGAGTGATAAAATAAAATATACAAAAAAGTATTTATTAAATTTACTAAAAGAAAATAATATACAACAAACATCTAAAGATCACATTGCATTAGTTATGATTGCTATGGATAATAATTTAATTGATAAAGAATCTATACAATCAAATATCATTACTAAAAAACAAAAAAAACCAAAGATTGTAAGAGTTAAAAGAGTTAAAAAAGAAAAAGTAATAAAAGAGAAAAAAAAAGCTGGAAGACCTAGAATTAATCCTATAAAAGAAAAAAAAGAAAGAGATCCTAAATATGACTGGCTTGCGAAAATTAGAACAAATCCAACAACTATAAAACTTACTAATATAGAAACTGGTGAAGTTAAAATATACAATTCATTGTATGACTACATTCGTAAAGAAAAGCATTGTAAATCATATGCTGAGAAATATAATGGAAAAGTTAAAAATGGAGTAAAAATAGAAATAATAAAATCAGAAAATGAAAAATAAATTATTTTTATAGATATAAGTCTATAAAAATATATAATAAGAAATGTTTATTTGCTATCAATTAATTTCTTAACAAGAAATATAAAAAATTGAAAATGATTTAAATAATTTTTCTTGTATATATAAAAATATATAATAAGTAATGTTTTTCACTGTCAATTAATTTCTTAACAAGAAATATAAAAAAATGAAAATGATATAAATAATTTTCTTGTATATAAAAAATGGCAAATATTACTAATAGATTTTTTAATAAAATCAATTCATTAACAAATTGGGTTATGTCATATATTCCTAATCCTATTAAAGAAATAGCTACTACGCAAATTAATACATTAAAATCTACAGTTTCTAATTTGTATGAAAAAGTAGGATTTAAAAGTGAACATGTTAGAAAACCTATAGAATCTAGAAAAGAAAAAAAGAGAGAAAAGAAGAGAGAAAAGAAACCAATAGAGTTTAAATTAACACAATCAGCTGTTAGAAATGTGACAAGACAATTTTCAGCTCAAGGTGTTGAAGGATATGATGCTTTGTCCTTTATGAAAAAAGCTAAAAATAATGCCATTCAAATACTAAATATCAATAAAAGATCAAAGATCAGTATTGATCTTTTGTGTAAAATGGAGAGTACTGATATTAAAAAAGGAGAAACTATTTCAGCAATTGCAGCATTTAAAACAAAAGCAGAAGTTGTTTTAGAATCAACAAATTTAAATGACATTTACGAAAGAGCTGAACAAAGAATTTTAGAATTATTAGCCGCATTTCAACGAACAAAATCAAATTGGAGATTTGTATCAGTTAAAAAGATGGATATAGATATAATTGAATATAAGCCTATTAAAGGTAAATCTTACATTCCTCTTCCTAAAGAGTTAGCATCTAAAAAAGCAATTATTAATATGAAGAATGAAGACAATGAATGCTTTAAGTGGTGTGTTGTCAGATTTTTTAATCCTAAAGAAAAAAATTCTGAAAGAGTAGATAAAGATTTAAAAGAACAATCTGAGAATTGGGAAAAAATAAAATTCCTAGTGTCACTACAACAGATTACTCAATTTGAGAAAAATAATCAAGACTTAAGTGTTAATGTTTTTGGTTATGAAAGTTCAGTTTACCCTTTAAGAATATCAAATGAGAAAAATAGGCAACATAAAATAGATTTATTACTCATTTCAAATGATGATACAAATCATTATTGTTTAATAAAAAGTTTAAGTAGATTACTTTCATCACAAATATCTAAAAATGAACATGAAATATTTTATTGTAGAAACTGCTTGTTAGGATTTAGTACTGAAGAATCTTTATCAAAGCATAAATTGTATTGTGATACTCAGTACGAATAGAACTTCTAAAACCAAATACAATGATTGAGTTTAATCATTTTAAAAAAACGATGAGAGTTCCCTTTGTAGTCTATGCTGACTTTGAAAGTATTATTAAACCTATTAATACTTGCGAACAAAACTCAGATAGTTCCTATACAAAGCAATACCAAAAGCATACACCTAGTTCATTTTGCTACTATATTAAATGCTTTGATGAAAAAGTATATCAAAGTAATCTAGTTGCATTCACTGCAAGTAATGAAGATGTAGCACAAAAATTTGTTGATATGCTAGAAGAAGATGTAAAAAAGATTTACAACGATTATTTGAAATCCCCAAAAAAGATGATATTTACTATTAAAGACAAAAAAAAATTTGATGATGCAAAAATATATCACATTTGTGAAAACGAACTAGGAAAAGATAGAGTACGAGATCATTGTCATATTACTGGAAAATATAGAGGTGCTGTACATAGTGATTGTAATTTGCAATTTAAAATTCCAAAATTCATTCCAATCTTATTTCACAATTTATCTAATTATGATTCTCACTTGTTCATAAAGAAATTGTCAGGTAAAATAAATTGCATTTCTAACAATGAAGAAAAGTATATCAGCTTTTCTAAAGAACTTAAAGTAAATGAATTTACGAATAAAGAAAATAAAGTTATTGAAGTTAAACTACAACTACGTTTTCTTGATAGTTTTAGATTTATGGCTTCTAGTTTAGATAGTTTAACTAAAAATCTAACAAAGGAGCAATGTAAGAATGTTAGTAGATACTATTCCGGAAATGAACTCAATTTATTGTTAAGAAAAGGTGTTTATCCTTATGAATGGGTTGACTCTATTGATAAATTAAATGAAACACAATTACCACCAAAAGAATCATTTTATTCAAGACTAAACGATGAAGGAATAAGTGATGAAGATTATTTACATGCTCAAACTGTATGGGAAGAGTTTCAATGTAAAACATTTAGAGACTATCATAATTTATATAACGAATCTGATGTACTATTACTAGCTGATGTTTTTGAAAATTTTAGAGATGTATGTATAAAAAATTATAAATTAGATCCTGCTTGGTACTATACTTCACCAGGATTAGCTTGGGATGCTGCTTTAAAAGAAACAAAAGTACAATTAGAATTATTAAGTGATTATGATATGATTCTTATGATAAAGCAAGGAATAAGAGGTGGAATTAGCACAATTTCTAACAGGTTGGGAGTTGCTAATAATAAGTATATGGAAAATTATGATAAAAGTAAAGAATCTACTTACATACAATATTTAGATGCTAACAATTTATATGGATGGGCAATGAATAAACCCCTTCCTACACATGGGTTTAAATGGATGAATGAAAAAGAGTTAAAAAATTGGAAATCTATTTCTTGTATATTAGAAGTAGATTTAGAATATCCTGAACACTTACATGATTTGCATAATGATTATCCACTTGCTTCTGAAAGATTAAAAATAAACAAAGTTGAAAAATTAGTACCTAATTTAAATCATAAGAAAAACTATATCATTCATTATGAAAATTTGAAATTGTATGAAAGATTAGGATTAAAATTGACTAAAATTCATAGAGGAATAAAGTTTAAAGAAAGTGCATGGCTAAGTAAGTACATTAAACTCAATACAGATCTAAGAACAAAAGCAACAAATGACTTTGAAAAAGACTTTTTTAAACTCATGAATAATTCAGTATTTGGAAAAACAATGGAAAACATTGAAAACAGAGTTGATGTGAGATTAGTCACTAAAAGAGAAGAAGCTATTAAATTAGCATCAAAACCCAACTATGAAAGTAGGACTATATTTGATGAAAATTTAATAGCTATTCATATGAAAAGAACAAAACTAGTATATAACAAACCTATTTACTTGGGTATGTGTATTTTAGATTTGAGTAAAACACTCATGTATGAATTTCATTACGATTACATAAAAAATAAATATGGTGATAGAGCTAAACTGTTATTCACAGACACAGATATAGAGCTAAACTGTTATTCACAGACACAGAACTAAACTGTTATTCACAGACACAGACTCTTTAGTCTATGAAATAAAAACAGAAGACTTTTATGTAGATATTGTAAATGACATTGAAAGTAAATTTGATACAAGTGAATTTGAAAAAAATCATCCAGCTGTTAAAAATGGATTTAAAGTAGGAACAAATAAGAAAGTATTGGGAATGTTTAAAGATGAATCTGCAGGAAAACAAATTGAAGAGTTTATAGGAATTAGATCAAAATTGTACTCTTTCAAAATAGATGGAGAAGATAAAAAGAGATGTAAGGGAGTAAAGAAAAATGTAGTTAAAAGTTATATAACACATGAAGATTATAAAGGTTGCCTTATGAATAGAAAAGATCAGATGAGAAAAATGAATGTTATAAGACCTCATTGTCATGATATATATACAGAAGAAATAAACAAAATAGCACTCAGTGCAGAAGATGATAAAAGAGTTATTTTAGATGATGGAATTCATACCCTAGCATACGGACATTATAAATTAAAATAAACAAGCAGGCAGGCAGGTAAGTAATTTTAAAAAATGATTTTAAAAAATCTAACAAAGTCTTGATTTTTTTATAAAAAAATCTAAAACTATTAATAAAAATGAATAAAAGAATCAATGTTGAAGGAATCATATTACCAAATGTACCATTAACAAACTTTCAGTTAATAGAAGCAGCAAAAAAATTAAAAATAAAAAATTTTAGAGGTGTATTTGTAAGAGATGAATTACCAAAAAATACACAAAAAAAGAATGTGGAATATTAAATACTGGAGATTCAAGTACAGGTGGATTTCATTGGATTTGTTGGTATAAAGACGGAGATATGAAACTAAGTTTCGACTCTTATGGTCTACCACCTCCAGTTGAACTTGTTCAATATTTACACAGTCCTGTTTACTACAATACTGAACAAGTTCAGTTTGGAAATACTTCCTATTGCGGGCACTTGTGTCTCTATGTCTTGAAAAAACTAAATGATGGAAAAGAATTTCAAAGCATCATCAATTCACTTTGGTGAATCTTAGATATATTATAAAAATAAATTAAATAATAATAATGAGTATATGAAATGAGTATTAATATATTCGGTAGTAGTTCAATGAATGGATTATCTGCTTTTGGTAGCACATCAGGTGGCAGTTTAAATCTTAATATTAATGTAGACAATAAAGCGACTTCAGACGTTGATATAAATACACATGAAATAATAAATTTAGCTGATCCTACTAATGCACAGGATGCAGCAACAAAATATTATGTAGATAATAATCAAACTTCTAGCAGTGCATGTCTAAAATTAGATGGAACTAGTAGTATGAGGGCTAACATAAATTTGAATTCACATAAACTTATCAATGTAGTTGATCCTACTAATGCACAGGATGCAACAACAAAAAATTATGTTGATACAAAAGATGGACTTGTAATAAATTATATAGAAAGAATAGTTCCTTATCCTCATAAATACAAAGTTCTAATTGTCGCTGGACAATCTAATACATACTACGGTAGAGAATGGGGTAATTCAGATGCCATAACTACTGTAAATTATATGCATAGAAGAATAGTTCTATTCGGTATGGATAATGGTCAAACTGATTCATTACTTCCTTGTTCTCTTAGATTAGATGTAAATGAATCAGATAGTATATGTTATGCCGGTTATGGATCAATACTAGCTGGATTAATAATGCAAGATGCTATAGGTTCTAATAATTTGAACATCATTAATCCAGATGAAATGTTAATGATACTTCCATGTATGTTGGGTGGAATGGGATTTAGCAATGATTATTTTATGCCATATGGAACTGGATTTAAAGATTTAACTCGTAGGATTAGGTATATTTTAACCCATTATAATGCTGAATTTTGTGGTGTAACTTGGAGTCAAGGAGAAACAGATTCTGTATCTGGTTGGTGTGATAATTATAGATATATTCTAATGAATTTTATTCAAACTATAAGAGATTATGTAGGGTATTCATCTAATCAATTCGACACGTTAGCAAACTCACAAGTAAAATCAAATACAATTCCATTCATTACTTTTCAAATGAGTCCTACATGGGTTGCAGCTAATTCTGCATTGGCAAGTCCAGTTCAAAATGCGTTAACAAGTATTGGAGATTACATTCCATTCACCTCATGCATAAATATAAGCAATCTTCCACCTAACATGAGAATTACAAACATAGATTCTATACATTATGACTCACGCCAACAACTATTTTTGGGTCAAAAATTCTATGATGCATTGTTTATAGCTACAAATAATACAAATGCTAACGGAAATTATATTCCAAACATTTACACAGCAGGTGAAACGCTAATGGTTAGACAGATATCAGCAGTATTATTTCCAAAAAATTATTATAAAGCATATTATCAGTACAATTCTATTCCATCTACAGGTGGAATATATAGCCAATTATATAATAACTGGAAATATAAAAACAAAGATGGATATTACAAACATCGTCTTAGTTACAACATTAATGGAACATGGAAAAACATTATATTCAAACAAGCATTCCATCCACTGATGTCTATGCATTATCAAAATATTGGACAACTCATATCAAAAGATACACCATTTGGTGGTACAAATTTTGGACAAGGATTTTCTGGACTTAATATAACATCTAATAAAACCTATATGTTTTCAGGAGCTGTACTTTCACTTGATACATCTAATAGTTATTTTGCACCGGTATGTTTAAATAATAATTTTATAGTCGGATCTACAAATGTTTTTCCTGTATATGATAATTACATTGTAAATAATTCAGCGACTATAATAACAGCAACTGAAGCAGAATTATATGCTGTGCGAGATCCATAAACAAAAATCTGACGCATGCGCACTGAGCAGAGCATAAGATCAATCTGAAAATCACATGACCTGTGACGTCACGGCAAGAAACGAAATTGATACTAATTTTTAAATCTTAAAAAATGATTTAGCGTAGCATTGGTCACGAAGTGACCTAAAAATTTATTTCTTAGTTATATAATTTATACACACTATGAATGATAATGAATCATATATTTAATTAAATATATGATTGAAAATATGGTTGAAAATGAAAATGAGCTAGAACCGGCATATTCCTACTACTTGTATTTTGAAAGGTCTAAAATCCTCTGGTGAATACATCTGCCCCATTATTTCTCGAACAGAACTATACATGGCAGGCAAATCTTTTTCAAAGTCTAAACCTTTATAATCCATATCAGTTTTATAACTTACTAAGTTTTCCAATAAAACTTCTACCATTTCATCACTCCAATCCATCTTGGGGATTTCTCTTTATCTATTTTAGATTTATTTTTTGTGATAGAAATGAGACTGGCAGATTTAATACTAATAGGATTACTATTGCAGGTTTTAGCGTTATTAAAAGTTTGAAAATCAATGTCTTTTAAATTTATTGTAAAATTTGGTTCCTCCTCCTCTGACTCACAACAATGATTTGATGCACTCGTCTCAGTACATAACTTTTTACTTAGGTTGCTTAACTTACTAAAAAAAGAAAAGGAATACAGTAAAACTTAAATAATAAAATTATACCTATATAAAAATATTCTAATTATGATTCATATGTTTTGCGTAATTTCAGTTTCATAGAACGTAAATTAGGTACCTTGTAGTTAACTTTGTATTACTAATATAACTATTATAAATACTATTATTATATTATGTTTCAATACAAAGTTTGTATATACATTGCTATTTAGTAATTAGAAATTAAATAATATTATATAACAAATGTAGCCAGACAGAATTGTAATTATATAGAGCTAATTTACGTGAAAATTATACTTTTCACATTTTAGTGCAGTATTTAAATTATATAATAGCTATAATAACAATAATAGTCCAGGGGCGGATCTAGGGGGTATCCTGTGTTGCCCAGGATTCACCCATAATATTCTAAGAAATTAAAAAAAATTCCGTTTCATAATCTAAAAAATACTAAACTTGAATTTATAGTATACTAATATGTATATATGAACATACACGGCTATAACAATCTTTCAGACTTAGCTCTCCTCCGTCATGTTCAAAACGCCGCTATTAAATCAGGATTCTTTTTTTAAAGTAAACGGTACCGAAAGAACCCTTTTAATGAATCGTTATTGCAATGTATTTATTTTGCTTGCCGTAATAAAGGCCAAAAAAATCCCTATTGTTTCAGGATTCATTTGACCCGAATTTCCGGTAAACAACAAAAAAATTTGCAGGAACGTTTGATCAAAAGGGTTCTCTCGGTTCCGTTTATATATAAAAATGAATCCTTAATTATTCTAATAACGCCTTAATTATTCGCATAAAGCCTTAAGTATTCGAATAAATTGAAGTTTATCAAAAATTAGCTAATAAGTAATTTTTATTACAAATTTTATTTTTGTTTACAATTATGGATTTGTTGCTATCCAATGCCATTAAAGCCAAGCATTTGCCTAATATTACAACTTACAAAGCAAAGCTTCGTAATAATCTTAAAGAATTAAATTCAAACTTTCCTGTTGTAAACAAAGATCTTCTTTCTTTAAGAAATTCTGAAATGGAAGCTTTTATTCCTATACAAAAAGAAAATGAAGACTATATTGTTTTAAAGTATGAGTTTAAACACGTTTTTTTTATGTTTTATTATGCTTATAAAACAATAATTCTTGACAAATAATGTTTAGTTAAATATGTTTGTTTTAGTTATATTTAGTATATATATATGTTATGACTTAACAGGTCAATGGAGAATGGTAACTGTCTTTACAACTCTGCTGCTTTATTAATAAATTCATCAGATAAAACACATGAAATTCTTCGACTATTAACTTCTGTTGAGTTGTTTGAGAAAGCAACCTTTTATTCGAGATACCCAATAATCTTTAAACCAAGTGGAATCTAAAAATTTTTACTCGCTCTCTAGTGTTTTCATGGCATGTGTTTCATTTGAGAGTTCTGATTCTTTTACAGAATTAAATGATATAAATATTGCTGAACTTATAAAAAAAGAAGCCTATAACAATTGCAGAAACAATAAATTTGCTTCTTTTCTTTGTTTAATTGCATTATATACAGTGTTAAATAAACAAATTTGGTCTATTTATCCTGAATTCGGACTTGAAAAATATAAAAAGTTATTTAATGTATGTATATACCCACGTGGCGATCATAAAACAAATAAAGAAATTCTGAGTATTTTATGGTGTAACACTGATTGTCGCTCTATTTCCAAGGATAAAGATATGTAGTCACCAAATTATTTTGTCCCTATTGTGAAAAGAGAAGTTTTATGCTCAAAGAAATTTGTCAAAAGTGAGTGTAGTGGTGTAGTGGTAGAGCGCTAGTGGTGTAGTGGTAGAGCGCTCGCTTCATAAACGAGTGGTTCCGAGTTCGATCCCCACCACGTCCCTGGTAGTACCGCGCTCAACTCGTTTCTCTGCGCAGCGGCCTTGTTCGTCAAAGTTCGTGTTTCGGAGTTATAGAGTTGAGAGAGGGTTATAGCCACAAAATAAGTAGCCTCCTCGTCTGTAGTGGCCTTCTCGGCCTTGAGGAGGTGAAGTATAATAAAAAAAAAAAAAATGTCAATGCATTGTCTTAACATGCTGCAATCTAGATCTAATTCAAAAAAAAATCTGATTGAAGTTGACATCGATAATTAGAGAAAAAAACTTATTATAAGTAATCGAAATAAATTCATTCCAATTATAAAGACAATTATTTTTCTTGGCCGCAATGATATTGCTTTTCGAGGTCATCGTGATGAAAGTAAGTATCATCCAGAGATCGGAGAAACATGTAAAAACAACATTGGTATAGGTAACTTTGTAGAGCTTTTAAATTTTCGCATTGAAGCAGGTGATAAAGTTCTTGAGCACCATATTCGTTCTGCTCCTAAAAATGCAACTTATATATCTAAAACCGCACAAAACGAACTTATTGAATGCTGTGGAAAAACAATCGAAGAAGTTCTAATTAATAAAATTAAAAATTCAGATTATTTTTCTATCTTGTGTGATGGAGCCTCTGATTGTTCTAATGTTGAACAGCTATCTCTAGTTATAAGATACATTGACTGTGATAATGTTGTTTGTGAAGATTTTCTACGGTTCATTGAATGTAAATCTGGTACAACTGGTCTTAGTCTTGCGCAAAAGAAACTTAAAGGTCTGGATGTTTTTTTTGATAACTACATATCTGTTTTTCATTCAATGGAAGAAATGGCATACAATGAAGGTAAGAGTTATAATATTGATACTTCTTCATAGTTTCTGCAATTGATGATATTGGTCTTGATATCCAAAAATGTAGAGGTCAAGGATATGATGGTGCTGGGGCAATGTCTGGTAAATTAAAAGGTATTTCATCAAGAATTAAATTTATCAATTCAAAGGCTATTTTTGTTCACTGTGCATGCCATACACTTAATTTAGTTGAAGTAAATCATGCAATGTTCAGAGTGTTAGAAATGTTCTTGATCAAATCAAAGATATATCATATTTTTTTAACTTATCACCTAAACGTGCCAGCTGTCTTAATAAATTCATTTTTCCTGGTCAAGCAAAATTAATCGATACATGTCGAATTAGATGGGTTCAGAAACTTAAAGGTCTGGATGTTTTTTTTGAAAACTACATATCTGTTTTTCATTCAATGGAAGAAATGGCATACAATGAAGGTAAGAGTTATAATATTGATACTTCTTCAAAAGCTTCATGTTTTTTAAATCTTATGACTAATTTTTCTTTTATTGTAAGATTAGTTTTAACCAAACAAATAATGGACTATTTCTATGCCATCACTGTTGTTCTTTAAACTAAAGCGTTTGATATATCACAACAGTGTAATGAAATAAATTGTTTAAAAACTCAAATTTTAGATTTAAAAATAATATTGATGTCTATCATCGCAAATGGTACTTAATTACTCTTGATCTAGCTAAGACTCTTGATGTTTCAGAAGTTAAACTAAGGCTTTGTGGCAGACAAAAGTATAGAGATAATTATCTCTCTGACACAGTTTCAGATTATTTCAAATATTCCATCACATCTCCTCTTCTAGATCATTTAATTAATGAATTAGAAGATAGATTTAATGAAGGTGATATGGTTGTTTACAAAGGTTTATCTGGTATTCCTGCAACTTTTGTAAAAAAAAAATAAAGAAAAATGTTTTTGGTTAGATTTTATGGAATTTTTGCATTTTTATATATCGGATATGCCTCATCCTACATCAATTCATGCTGAATTAGATTTGTGGGAAACATTTTGGAACAATCAATCTGTGATCCCATCCACTATTACAGAAACTTTAAAATCTATTGATATGAGGGGTTTCCCAAACATTAGGAAAGGTTTTTTAATAATGGGAACAATTCCAATTACTACATGTGAATGCGAGAGGAGCATTTCTGTTATACGCAGACTGAAAACTTATATGCGAAGCCGCTTGACAGAGTCAAGATTTAATTTTTTAGCTCTGATGTCTATTCATCAAGAAATAATTCCTGATGTAGAAAGAGTTTTGAATATTTTTTCTGTTTTAGGGGAACGACGCTTAGAGTTGGTTTTTACCTAATATTAATTTATTAATTTCTTTTTTATTTATTGACTATATTCTTGTATTTTAGTTTGTTTTACATTTAAGTTTATTTTATATTTCATGAAAATTAGAAAAAACAAAATAAAAAATTAAAAAAAAAAAATTAGCTTAACTGCCTATCAAGAAAAGGAAAGAATCCAGAAATGGAGGGCTAACCTAAGGCAACAATATTAATACTTTACATATACTGCCTTTCAAGAAAAGGAAAGAATCCAGAAAGGGATGGCTAACCTAAGGTAATAATATTAATTATTTACATTAACTGCCTATCAAGAAGAGGTAAGAATCCAGAAATGGAGGACTAACCTAAGGCAACAATACAATTACTTTACACAAACTGCCTATCAAGAAAAGGAAAGAATCCAGAAATGGAGGGCTAACCTTAGGCCACATGACAGTTTACAGATGGAGTGCAAAGTCCTATGGCTTACCTTCTCGTTGGTGCACTTCGTTAAATAGGTTAGACAAGTAAAAAATGTCTAATTTATGAACAGAATAGTCAAGGCAACATTGTTGTTAGTTTTGTTTTATATGGGTAATTGAGAACAATGCCCGGTAAGTAATAATAAAGTACTGATGCCGCTTTGAACTCCCCCCCCCCCCTCGCTAGCCCGGGGAAAGGGCTTACAAAAAAAATATTGCAAACTATTTTGGCAACTTGAAAAAAAACAGGCAACACCCACAAAAAATCCTGCATCCGCCCCTGATAGTGATGTCTACATCACTATTATTGTTATAAAATACTTCAGTAGAAAAAAAGATTAAAATAATAAATAATTTATTACTTATTTTTTTTAACTTTAACTATTTTTTAGAAAAATATTGCTTATAAATGTTATACTTTTCTTCAACTTATTATTTATAAACCTAACTCTGAGCTTCTATTTATCTATTTTTTTCCCCATCTTTTCTGTTGTTTTAATATTTTTAGCTAAATTTAATCCATTGTTTAATAATCAGGGCCGTCCCGAAGAGATTTTAAAAGGGGGTTACTTGTCTGTTTTTTGCTGACTAAAGCCAAAAAAAATATTTTTGTGCAGTTACTTATCCTAAAAAAAAAAAAAGGTCTTCGTTTTCCGACATTTGCCGACTGCCAACTATAAATCCAATTTTGCCGACTACAGTGTCCATTTTGCCGAATAATAAAATGCGTAGGGTTTAAGTTAAATAAAATGAAACATAATGTTGAACAAAATGAAACAACGATTTTACACACGACGAGACTAATATCTTAAGATATTATATATCTTAAGATATTATATATCTTAAGATATTATATATCTTAAGATATTATATATCTTAAGATATTTGTATATATTTTATGTATTAAGATATTATATATCTAAAGGTATTAAAGATCTTAAGATATTTGTCTCGTAAAATAATAAGAATACCTTAATTAACCTTCAAAAAATAATGATACCGACATAAAATTATTTAAAGAAAATATTGGAGGAGCGGGGTTTCGAACCCCGGGCCTCTCGCATGCAAAGCGAGCGCTCTACCACTGAGCTACACCCCCTTCTTCAAATTAAAAAATTTGTAAATTATATTATTGTTTACATCAAGCGCTACTTTTTAAATAAGTATCATTTAATTGTTTTAGTACTTCCCGTAGCAACCGGGGGAGGCAACAGGGCCATCTCCCCCCCCCCTCAAAAAAAAATTAATCTAGGACTGACCCCCCCCCATATAATTTTTGTTCCTACGGTCCTGCAGAGCACAGTCAGGCGGAATAGTTTTAAGATTAGACAAAATTTTTTTTGCTTTGAATTTTTAAGTTAAATAATTATTTTAAGGGCTCTTGTTAGATTTGGGAAAAGTTCCATAGCTCCATGGTTCAATCGTTCATGACCTGGTTCCGTTACCTGGTTTTAACTGATGTAATTGACACTTCCACTAATACAAACAAATGGTGCAAGTAAGTGCAAAAAAAGTTTTACAATCTGAAATCATCAGCTATTTCATTAAAAAAAGTATTTGAAACTGTATCTAAGTAAGGACATTAACTAAAAGCGCAACTACTTGTTGAAGCTATATTTTGCAATTTCCACTAGTGGAAATTGCAAAGTACCGTAGAACGGGGTGACTTTGTTAGGATTTTGAGCATTTTTGCAAAATAAATCTGGTTCATTACAATTTTTTCTGATTTTTTTTTTCCCGTTATAACATTATACCTTTCCTTTATATAATTCCATTAAATATTTTTAATTTTTTTTTGTCTTAATATATATATTTTTTTAATCCAAAATGTTATCAATCTCACCCCGTCGTTTGGGGTGACTTTGATAGTCTATTATTTCTTAATGGCTTATTGATTTAACCCTCTTTACAGTGTCGCTAATACTTTCTTTTTGACTTTTACTAAATTAGAACTCAACATATTAATAAACTTATAAGATTTACTGGTAAAATTATAAATTTAGAAAACAAGTTTGGTTATCGAATATATCTACAGAATGGACAAAGAAAAAACAAAAATAAATTTGATGTTAATATGCTAAACACAGAAAAATAATATATCAATAACATTGTTATAGTAATTAGCAGTTATAAAATAACACTAACAAAAAAATAATACTAATCGCATATAAATATTAAGTACTGATTTACCCTGATTTACACTGATTTTTCTGCAAATGTGATTGAGAGTAACCAAAAATGAGTGGTATATTCCAGTGGTATTATAACTGGAAAATACCACTTGAACATCTAAGTATAGATTTTTAGAAAAAAAAAAATTCAAAAAAATGAAAATTACAAGATTTTTTGGCATTTTTTGGTACGTGTAAAAAATCGTTATTTTTTTGTTATAGTCATGTTATTCCTAACACATTTGCACTATTTAGAATCACTTCACAATCATTAAAATTTCAAAAATATTAGCAGAATATAATTATGTACAAGAATAAAAAAAAAAATAGTCTCTAATTGTGGAATTTCACATTCAAATCATTATTTTTGTAACTAACAGACGAAATTATCAAAGTCACCCCGCGCCCCGTTCTACGGTATAGCTTCAACAAGTAGTGTCAACAAATGTTATCAAAATACGAAAAAAAAATGCCTGCCAATAATTTTTCTGGAAAATCACATAGAAACATTTAAGATAAACTGATATTTCACTTCCAGTGTATTATTAAAAATTTTCACAAATAATCTTTGGGGTGTTGGGATAATATTTAGTTAGAGATTGATTATTTATTATTTTAGGTTTTAAGGCTTTTTGAAAGTTGAAAATGTCAATTTTAGAAAGAAAAAATAATAATATCAAGAAATACAAGTTAACTGTTAAAATCTCTAGCTGAAAAGAAAGATTGTAATCCAAGTATCCTTTTAAGATACACAACAATGTGTATGGAGGAGGTAACATAATGGTTTATCGAGCACCTTTTTTCAGGCATATTTATAAAGCCTTAAATAATACGATTAATGCGTAAATAAAAATATGTTCTTCTACAATCAAAGAATGTAATCTATGTTTTACATATTGACACATTAAAATATTCACTTTTTGAACAAATAATCCATAAATCTTGCTTATTTAACTTAACTATAGACTAGATTAAACGTAGAAAAATTCCAGTCTAAATGATATTTAAAACTAAAGGAAGTTTATGCAGTCGCGCAAACATTTATAAATTCGCGTTGAAAATTTTTTTTGTTAAAGTTAACGCCGTGACTACTTGCTGTACATTTATGCAAGTTCCACTATTTGCTGTACATTTATTTTGCAAGTTAGCCCAACAAGCGACATTGGTACGGAAGGAGGCGTGAACTTCCTGTTAAATGCTCTTCCGCGGTGCTCTGTCTTAAATATCTACAAAAAAAAAAAAAAATTCCACTACTTTCTAAATTCTGTACGTTGATGTTGCAAGTTCCACTACTTGCTGTACATTTATGCAAGTTCCACCACTTGTTAAACTATACATTGCAAGTTCCATTATTTACTGTAAATTTTTATTGCAAGCTCCACTTCTTGCTGTACTTTATATTGCAAGCTCCACTACTTGCTGTACTTTATATTACAAGTTCCACTACTTGCTGTACTTTATATTGCAAGCTCCACTACTTGCTGTACTTTATATTGCAAGCTCCACTGCTTGCTGCACTTTATATTGCAAGCTCCACTACTTGCTGTACTTTATATTACAAGTTCCACTACTTGCTGTACATTAAATTGCAAGTTGCACTACTTGCTGTACTTTATATTGCAAGTTGCACTACTTGCTGTACTTTATATTACAAGTTCCACTACTTGCTGTACTTTATATTGCAAGTTCCACTACTTGCTGTACATTATATTGCAAGTTCCACTACTTGCTGTACATTTATATAGCAAGTTTCACTACTTGCTGTACATTATAATGCAAGTTCCACTACTTGCTGTACATTTATATAGCAAGTTTCACTACTTGCTGTACATTTATATAGCAAGTTTCACTACTTGCTGTACTTTATATTGCAAGTTCCACTACTTACTGTACATTTATATTGCAAGTTCCACTACTTGCTGTACTTTATATTGCAAGTTCCACTACTTGCTGTACATTTACTATGC